CTAAGAGGAGGTAAAAGAAATAAAGGGGGTAATAATCCTAAATTAGAAGAATTAACTATTATTAAAAGGAATTATTAATAGAATAAAGTATTAAATTAAGTAGTAAGTAAGGTTTATTACACTATAGTTATAAAGAACTTAACTAGGAACTAAAATAACTAAGGCTTATTTATTTAGTAGATAATTTACTACTCTATTACTTACTTAACCTAATATAGCTTAATAGTAGTTAAAAATAGAAGCATAAGAACTAAAAAAAGCTTTTACTAAAATAAAGAAGAGTATTATAGAAAGTAATTAAGGAAAGTAGGTAGGGTTTAATAAGTAATATTATTAATAAAGTAGTAAACTTTTAAAGATATAAAGGTAATATAATAGTATTATAAAAAGAGCATAAGTTAATAAAGTTAAAAGATATAAAAAATTCTCTTCTTAGCTAGTAGTTAGTAGTTAGCATTTAGTAGTTAAGTAGTAAAAAAATTCTTATAATAAAGTATACTATATAGGTAGTTATTATTAAATAGGCTTAAAGTAGCTATTTACTATTAATATTAACTTAGTAAAGAAGAAGGTAGTTAAGAGCTATTAAAAACAGAATAATCTCTTATCTATTTATATAGTATAAAAACTCTACTTATAAGAGGTAAGAAGCTAAGAGAAGTAGTTAGTAAAATAGGAAGTTAACCTTACTATTAATTATAAGTTAATAGGTTAATATTAATATTAAAGGTTAGGTGTATAATAGATACTCTTTAAGTAAGAAGTAGGAGTAATTACTAAGAGCATTTTAAGTAGGATAAACTATCTCTTAAGTTATATTATAACTACTTCTATTAAGTATAAGATTAGAGGCTATAAGAGCTATTATTATAATCCTACTATTATTAATACTATAGGGAGATATTACTTAATCCTATTAGTACTAGTAATATTAGTATTAATATACTCTTCTTAGAAATTAGAAGAGGGTAAGTTTAAAATAGTTTAAATAATATAAACTATCTTTTTTGAAGTTTATAACTACCTTATTAGTATAAGTTAATTAATTAAGCATTCCTAAGTAGAATAGATCTAAATAAATATTAATAAAACTACCTCTTCTAAAACCTTACTAATCTATAGTTAATTAATATATCGTATAGTAGTAACTATAAAATTAACTACTAATTAGTATTAATCTTATAGGACCAGCTAGCTAGTAAAGGTCACTATAGGTAGTAAATATTATATTATATTAACTACGTTAGTAGTGATATATATATAGTTAACTACGTTAGAAGTAGTAACTATAATTATAGCGTTAATTATAGAGGGTAGTGCCTTATATAATCGCTAATTATATAAAGCGCACCTAGCTTAATTAATACTGCAATAGGCTAGCGTTACTAACAGTAATACTATTGCTATTCTCTTTAATAGGGTTATTAATATTATTATAGATATCTAGGTTGCTGTTATTAATATAGTGCCCTCTTATAGCTAGTATCTCTTTAATATTAAGGTAGCTAAGAGGCTTTATATAGTACTTAATAATATCTAAGGTCTCTTTTAGTAGTAATATAAGGTTAAGATTAATCTACTATTTAGGCTTAGGTAGCTTATACTATTATAAGTCTTTTATATTAAATAGTATATAGTTATTAATCTTATTAGTATAAGTAAGCTACTATTTAAAATTTAGTTATTTTATATACCTATTAATTAGTTAGTACTTTATAGCTATATACTCTACTTATACTTCTTTTTCCTACTTTTTAGCCTCTTTTTTTAATATAGTGTATTATTACTTAACCTCCTTTTTAGTAGCTTTAGTAACTTATATCTCTTATTACTATATAATCTCTATAAATATTATACTTATTATAAATAAGTACTATAGTTTAACGCCTTACTAAATCTACTATTTATATTACTATAACTCTATCTAGGTGTTTAAGTTAATAATATACTCTTAGCTTCTCTTATAGTATAGATTACCCTCTAAGATTATAGACTTTATTACTTTATAACTTCTCTAAGTAGGGGAGCTTTATTTAGTACTATAATATTACTTAATAGTATTAGCTTATAGTATAGCTTTCTTAAACCTATTATTATTTAGTAAGTAATAGAAGAGGTAGCTAAGTATATTAACTTAAGCTAACTATATATATTTAACTAATTAAGAGAGGATTATATTATCTCTAATTAATTAGATACCTAACTTTTTAAACTTTACTATAATATTTAGGTGTATAAATATAATATCTATTATTTAGTAAAAGTTACTAATAAAGTCTCTATATATAAATATAAGGGTATTACTTTATATAGCTTTTTATAATACTATTTAGTAAGTTTTCTTAAATAGCTAGAAGACCTTTATATCTATAAGCTAAAATAGATATATAGTATAAAGGGGAAAAAACCTAATAATAATATTAAAGTTAATATAGTATTTTATAAGCTTTAGGCTAATATACCTAGAGAAGCTATCTAAAAGGAGTAATTAATATAACCTTATACTAACTTCTTCTTAGAGTATATCTCTATATAACTTAGTATAAATACTTAGTATTATACTATATATCTTAAGCTAATTAGAGTAGCCTCTATATATATTAATACTAAATTATAACTCTATAGTATACCTAAGTTATTAGAACTTCACTAACTTCTTAAATAAGTATATATTAAAATACTTAATATAATCTATTATAATCTCTTAATTAGAGAAAGTAGTTAAAAACTATATAAAGTAAATACTCTTATTAATATTATAATTAGCCTAAATAGTAATTAGCTATATCTTAAAAATAAAGTAAGCTAGGATAATATCTCTAATAGTATTACTACTACTAACTAGAGTATATAACTCTCTATTAGCTAGATTAATAACTTTATATAGTTTATTTTATTTTTATTATCTTTAGAGTAAAATAATATATATATAGCTACTAAAGTAGCTAATATAGTAACTAAACTTATTAATATTTTAGATCTTAGAAAGCTTAAGTTTATAATCTTAAGTTATAGCTTTATATTAATTAAAGAAGTTTTATATTAGTATTAAGTTAAACTTAGTACTTTTTTAGTAAACCTTAATAAGTTTAATCCTTAATCCTTTTTAGAACTCTAAGTAATTAGCTTTTTAGAACTTTACGAAGTACTTTAAGATAGAGCTTAAACTTTAGCTAGCTTAGAGGGTATTAGTTATCTCTTTAATAATAAGTAGGATAGTTAAGAAGCTAATAGTATTAAGTTATATAATAAATACTATTAAGGCTAAGTCTTTAGCTTTTATTAATAACTTTAGCTAGTTATCCTCTTTAGGTAGTATAGAGATATTATAACTAGCTTAGAGAGTTTTTAGATATTTCCTTACTACTATATAGGATACTTTATAGCTTTTAGTAATAGTTTAAATTAATAATACTATAGATAGAGGTTTACTAAAGTAACTAAAGTAGAAAGCTTAATATTATATAGTATATAATACCTATATAGTTTATTTAGTAAGTATTAAGTTAGTATTACTCTAGTAAAGTATCTTAGTAGCTAAGATTAAAAGAAGTAATTAAAAAAAGCGTAATTTTAGGTTATAGTATAGTCTTAAAAAAGATGTTTTTTAGTAGTAAAATAAGAAAAACGCGACTTTTATATGACTAGCTAGAAACCCCCTTTTTTATGTAGAAACCCTGTTTTTTCGCCCCCTATGTGAGTAGGGGGAGTTTTGCGCTTGACGTGGCTGACTAACGCCCCTGGGTAGCCTATTTGCATAATTATTGCCACTCAATCAGTGTCACAGGCATGAAATATCGAGCGGTGAAATCGCAAGACTATCCTGATGTTCTTCTACACCATGTGCGAAGAAGGATACGTGCCATTTAGGTAATATCGACTGCGAATGAGAATCATTAGATATGTCCCCGAGAAGACCAAATTTGAGAGGTCACAGACAGGCTTAATTATTGAAGAGAACGCTTGGTGTGGAATTCCGCTAGCCGTGCAGTGTGCACCACACATGCGTGTAACCCATATATCCTGCCTAAAACCCCTACTTTTCCGGCACTAACGCGATTATATTTCGTATATACTCTTTTCGTCGTCGTATATTGTCGTTATTGTTATCACTATGTACCGTTGCTCTGTCGTTTCTCTACTACTTTCATCCTTGTCGAATTTCCGCTACGCTAATCTATTAAAGATATACGGGGCAAAACTCTTAATGCAACATGACGCGGGCTTTCAAGCATTTTGCCAATCCATTTGGGCCGGTCACGTCTTCCCTACTTGACGAAATTTGCGATCACACCAGCTAACACAGAATGGCCTCTATGGGTTTTCCCTCTTCAAGCTTAACTCAGGAGTTTGGAAGGCGCAAATGATAACGGGATGTGAATGGGAGATGAGTGGTATAATAGACACGTGCAATGGCAGCCACTATTGTTCTGGATCTCGCTCTCAACTCTCTTTTCTTCAATACGATGTTTGTGCGTGTGTGTGTTCTTCTTTCTTCCTGCGTCTACGTCTTTTCGGCCACCCCCCCCCCCCCCCCCCCCCCCCCCCTCTNGCCCCCCCCCCCCCCCCCCCTTTCCTTGTCACTTATGAAATCACCACCGGCTGGAAATCCCCGCGGTGATGTATGAAAAGAAATGAAGTCCATAGCAGAGAGATAAAAATGCATTGAAATGGTTGGGCGGGTTAAGCAGGAGAATGGGTGGATTGGTGGGTGGAATGGCAGATAAGGGGGATTGAAACCACCTCGTTGGGAATGGGAATTTCCCAACACCATTCGTTTTCTTTCCTTGATCATTGATGTTGCATACTTGAGGTATGCTTCTCAAGTGACTTTTGTACTTGTACAATTGAAATTGGCAGACGTCTCTATGGAAACATGGCATGTATTATGGGAATACTTCAACTAGACCTTGGTGATGTGATATTTGAAGCTTTGTAGCCATATACTGGTTCTTATATGTGCGCGATCGCTATCTCGTAGCTACCACTCAGTCATCTGCTTATTGCGTGTATTCTGCAGCTTGTAACGCATCTTCTCTCTTAATCCCAATGGCTTCCATTCTGTCCAGGATAAGCTCGGTGATTGAATGATCTCGACCGAGACTATTGAGAGCCTCGCGTAAAGGCGTTCTTCCCGAGCGATCTTGCGCAGACAAACTGGCGTCAATCTGGCCTGATTCAAGTAAACAACGCGCTGTCTCTCCAGGGCTCGTGTGCAGGGCATTATGCAGTGGCGTTCTCCCGAAGACATCCACTTGGTTTGCGTTAACCTTGCCCGTTCCTAGAAACAATCTTACTACCTCGACAAGGCCCCTCTCAGCAGCAATTGACAGGGGTGTTTGGTTGGAATTGTCTTCTAAGTTGACGTCAACCCTGTTCGACTCTACGAGAGCTTTTACAATGCCAACGTAGCCTCTTTTCGTGGCCTCTGCTAGAGCAGTCATTCCCCATGTATCCTGGCTGTTGAGGTCGGCTTTGTCAGATTCGATGAACGGTAGAATGACAGCCATATTACCAATGCTGATACCAGTGTGGATCGGTGTACAAGGATGGTTATGCCTTTTTGAGTTCACTTCTACCTCGTCAATACTGAGCAGCCACGCAATGAAGTCGGCTTTGCCGCCCATGACGGCGTAGAAGAGAGGTGTGAAATCGGCGTAATCACGAACATTTACATCAATCTCAATAGTTAGCTGACCGTTGTTCCGCTGTCCAAATGGATGTCACTAACCTCTGTCCCAGACCGTTCTAAGGTCACGATAAAAGCATCTTTGAGACCAAAGTATGCCGCGAGATGAAGACCGGATAGGCACGTCGGGGGGTAATATATTAATCGTGAAACCGACTGCCTGTTCAGGACGACCTCGAAGGCAGCTTCAAGATTGGCTCGGCTGCCCATCAAAAATGATCACAAACCCTCGGATGGAGGTGATATACTTTGAGTGTGGTGTCCCCATTCAAGTGCTGCGTACTCAAGGAGCGGGTGTTTGCCAAGGCGGGTTTCCAGATGGCGACGGCATACACCTGAACTAAAGGCATCGAAGGAGAGGTACGTTATTCATGATTCCAAGATCAGTCGTTGCGCATCTGGCAACCACCGTTCGGCGGTTCTCTCGAAGTACTCCTGCGTAGTGTAGTGAACAAGACGAATGATTCTGCTCTCTTCATCAATAGTGACCAGTCCGGCGCAGACTGATACAACATCTTCCAGCTCAGTAATGTTATCTTTATCCAATTCAGTTGTGCCGCTCTCGACAGCAAGAGCGTGTTGTAACTCCAATGTCTTAAGTGGTCGCCTGGCGCACACGATCCAAGACAACGCGTCTTTAGCGAGGGTCTCTTGATCACCAAGCTGTCCTTCGATGCGCTCCATCGCTTCGTCATAGGCAACATCGTACGCTGCAGATCCCCTGGCAAGTTTAGAAAGGGCGTCTTTAATTTGTTTTGCTGAGCGTTTGCCTTGTAATGAGTCTAAGTGAAGTTGTGCCAGCAAAAACCTAGCGAGAGAAACTCAGTTGAGTCAGGCACATCAGCGGAAAGTTGCATAGCTCACATTCCTTGTACAGCCTGAACGATGCTGTGTTTAATTTCGCCCTGAAGCTCCTTGTTCCTCCTCACAGCTTGGGGAAGCTTGTAAATGTGACCATCCAGGAATTTCATCACGTCTTCATCAGTAGCCTGAATTTCGATTGATGGAGCGCCGTCAAAGTAGCTCTCAATCTCTGGTATGTGCCTTGATGTCGCAAAGAAACTGACGTTGACAGTCTCGTTCAGTCCCAGTATAGTTGTGAGAAGAGTATCTCGGTATCCTTCATCCCCTCGGCACTCATCAAGTGCGTCGACCAGTACATAGACCTTGGTGAAACAGGACATCACAGATTGAAGACATCCTACTATTTCTTGCTTAGACATCGGAGACGAGCCGGAGTGATGCTTCTCATAGGTTTTCTCTACTTCATTGGATACCACAGGCATGTCCCAATAGAGCTGCTTCAGAATACTGGCGAGTAGTTCCCGAGGCTTCTGCTCGTCATGTCGTCGAAAGTTGCAGAATAGATAAGCAATGCCAACTGCAGAATCTTGGCCGAACCGATCTTGGAGGTGCTCAATGACGATCGATGAGAGCATGGTCTTTCCAGCGCCTGGCATTCCTGGGCAAAAGAGTGTCTTTCGGTCTTCTTCGACCCAAGTTTGATATTCTGGAGACTCGAGAAGCCACTGTCCAGTTCCTTCTTGTCTTCTCTCGAGGTTGTCAATCTGCTGTGCAGCAAAGTCGATCGGTGTGATCCAGTCCAGAATCCCTTTCTTCTTTTCGTCAAGATCCCTTTCTTCGAGATGCTTCCTTGTAGACTGGACCTCTAGGTTGGTATTGGCGGCAAGTCTGGTGTTGTCTATGGAGATCATGCTATTGATAACCTGACATCGCCTCTGCAGACTTCCAATCGCCGACTGCGTCCGTTCGCCAAAGACTGTTGCTTTCAGTCGTTCCCGCCCGAAGCGACTCCCATTAAGTCGCTTTTGAAGCCTCTTGAGTACATCTCCCAGCTCTTGTTTGCAGGTGAATAGCAAAGCTGAGTCGTCTGAATTCGAAATTGCTGCTAGGTCAGATAGGACCGCCGAGTGCCTGCCCTCGAAAGCGGATATAAAGTCGGGATCCTGAATCAAGTGGTTGTATGTTTCCAAAAGAGTTTTGTGCAAGCTTTCTACCTCACTCTTGAGTTTCTTGGCGTCGCCTGGAGCGTCCCGCCAGTTCAACCCGAGTTTGGTGCACATTGTGATTATGTGGCCCGCCACGCCAATGACGCCGATTATGCCGGACGGATCCATGCTGGAAGCGTTTGCTTACGCAACGGTCAACATTCACGGCGTGCAACCGTCATGAAGGTCCATGCGAAATCACAGAGGGTAAGAGGATAAGAATCAGTGCTCATCGAGATTGAAATGAGGAGAAGCTGGCCGCCAAGAGTCAGCAGTGGTCAAGTGTCTGCCCAAACGTCTGCCCAATTCAGCCAGCCGATAATCACAGCCCCAAATGCGCATGCGTCTCCGTATCCAGTGTCAATGAACCAATCTGGCCTAGTAATCTGGATGCAATGACGGACGGGGCCCGCGCATCTCACCGCGCAGTGTCCAGCTAATCTGATTCGCTTCGCCGTGCTGTGTAGCATCGAAACAAATACCCCATTGGTTGTCGTCTGCATCAAGTCAGCGGCACGGCATGCAAACATGCACGCGGATTAAACACTGCCCCATGAGCGGTAATTTCGACCATCCCGGTTCGGCCCCTTTTCAACCCCTTGCTCCAACGTACATGTCGGCATGCTCAGCCTGCTTCTAAGCTGACTGACTCTTCACTTGGTCGGTTTGCGTTTGAAAATGATCCAGTCCGCTCCTACATTCTAGAGTAGTGCGGCACAAAAGGTGTGGTATATCTTGATGGCTATGCAAGACTTGCGAATATGTCGTGATTTGCCAATGCTCGTATAGATTTGTTATTGCAGTCTATGAGAATAGGATAGCGCAACAGTCTTGTCGAGTCCCGCAGCGAGCCTGCAGATGGGCGCTCAAATCCGGCTTCACATCAAGTAAGAGCTGTCAAAGAGAACCCGGGGCGATGGATGATCTAGTCTTAAGGTTCTGACGCCTGGTATTGATACCCACGTGGATCTCATGGCGTGCTTCCGGAAGCCTTTCTCATTCGTGCTCAAAGAGCGCCACTGATCAACTTTAAAGAAAGAGTGATCGTGGGGAAACGCTCGAACTGAACACGGGGAAACTCTTTGGGGAAAGAATTACCTAAGAAATGGGATCTGTCTGAGTTTGCAAGACATTGCGGCGTTGGTGGCAGAAAGCTGTTCAATTGCCCTTTCCCCAACCGATTTGCCGACTCACAACGATCTAAGATCAACGCGAAAAGCGGTTAGCGGCCATGGTGAAAATAGCCGCTTTCGACAGCTCAGCTTAGTTGCAAAGCCACGTCCAAGCGAGCTAGCTCTTGGTTCGGGTTCTAGAGCCCACACAGCTGGGAATTGCCAAGAAGCCAGTGCCAACAGAGTTAGTCCCCTGGCTTGAGTCCAGCTCGGGTTATGCGCGTGAAACGACCATTCTCTCGCGAGCTGCTCATCTCGTGAATGGACCACTAATAGTTCAGCACGCGATGCCGCCAGTCGTGCAGACTACTTTGCCCTCAGGGGAATGCACGGCCTGGTTTTGGGAGCTTGCGTGCTGGCAGGCCGAGAACGTTCAGTGCCCTCGTTACCGAGAACAACTAAGCTCGCTTGCGTTGTTGCTGCTGTACCTTTAAAGAGAGCAAGCGACTCCTAGACGTTACGAAGATGACCTTGTTGGACGCTTTGCAGCCCCTGCAAGACTCCCGGTTGATCACTCCCTACTTTGGGGTCCACTATGAGCAGGGCCGCGGTTTGTTTCATGGGTCGACAATGAGAACTGTTGGAACAAAGATAGAAACACACAAGGTTGTTCCAACTGCAGAGGCAAACACTCACTTCGCCAGAGGCACGACCTTGACAAACTCAATCTCCGGGGTACAACAAAAAGCGTTGGATTCTTATATTCGTCGCGTATGGGAAATGCAGGGCAGGCTCTGCTCTCCCTATGTCTCTCTCGAAGTCTTCAAGGCCATGTCTGGCTGAGACCACGACCATCAACATGTCATCACCGATTCCGAAAATCGAGTCTCAGGCATCTGTGCAAGTCTACGAGATGACCTCTCTTTACGCAAGCTCACAGCGCGAACTTCTTCCGACTCCACAAAAGCATGGGCACCCGCGACAATGGGGGAAGACACGAAAGATGTATGATACTTGTCTTATCATCTTTCTGGAATTCTTCACGTATGTACAAATGTCTCTTGATAATCACAAACGTACTGACTCAGTGGCTTTTAGTACCATGGTTAGCACCGCAGGAGTAAGTCTGTCTGTCATAGTTTGGCATCCGATCAATGCTCACCTCTAGTCAGGCGCCGATCTCTGAACATCTCCACCGCGAATCAGGTCTCAGCTCAGTTGCCGCAACTGCTTCACTAGTCTCAACATATCTTGTCGGTCAAGCAATTGGAGGAGTTGTCACTCCCCCCTGGTCGGAATCGTTTGGCCGCAAGAAGCTTTACGTCATCAGCACGATCCTCTACAGCATTTCGTGCGTCGTGGTGGGAGCCATGCCCACTATCCCTGTCATCATCGTCGGACGCCTTGTGGCGGGCCTCCTGTCTTCTGTCCCGACGGTGATTGCTGTGGGTAGCATTGAAGATATGTGGGATACGCAAGCGAGAGTGTGGTGGGTGTTCACCTGGGCATTGGTTGCCAACATAGGTATTCTATTAGGACCGGCGTTCGGCGGTTTGATCATTGAATCCCTCCACTGGTAAGTCATATGTGATCCATGGATACCTTAGGTGATGAAGGGCTGAAACCTTTCCAGGAGATGGATCTTCTTCACGTCGGCCATTGTCACTGGAGTTGCAGCAGTGCTTTTGTGCTTAATCAAAGAGTCGCGACCATCAGTTGCCTTGGCCAAGATCGAGGCTTCCGAAACTGGCGTCCGGCCCAATATGCGGGAAAAGCTCGACCTTGTTCGCCCTCTTCGACTCTTCTTTACTGAACCGATCGTGTTCATGGTTGCGATCCTAAGCGCAATCGCCTTTGGACTTATTTACCTCTTCACGGAGGTTCTGCCAATGGTCTACCTTCAGCTCGACTTCCAACATGGCTGGAAAAACATTCCCTTTCTAGGACTTGGTATCGGCATGGTCTTGAGTGTTTTCACAAGGGTTTACGACTCCCGTTTACTCGCCAAGAAGACTGCAGCCTGTCTTCCGATCACACCGGAATCAAAATGCATCGGCTTTGTCATTGGGGCACCTTTACTGGCTGGAGGTCTCTGGCTGTTTGCGTGGACGATCCCGCCACAGGTTGTGTCCGTCCATTGGATCTTTCCAACGCTGGCTCTTGTTCCAATTGGCTACGCTGTCAATGAATTCGACCACGTCTTAGCCGGTTACCTCACCGACTGCTACGAGACTTACGCAGCTAGCGGGTTCGCGGCTCTAGCACTTACACGGTCCCTATGCTGCGCCACATTCCCACTGTTTGGTCGGATCATGTTTGACTCCCTCGACTTCAACATAGCAACGACTATATTTGCCGGCTTAGCTACTGTGATCTGCGTGGTCCCTCCATTAATGATCAAGTATGGAGGATGGCTGCGGAGGAGGAGTCCGTTGGCAGCCAAGTAAAGGTTGATTGTGGTATGATTGCTCCAGGGTAAAGTTCATGCCCTCAGGCTCGCCAATAGAATTCATGACACGAAAGTAAACATTTCTTAATGATTAATCATACACGCATTTTACCAGTTTCTCATTTCCTAACAAAGCAGTCGTTATGGCTTGAAGCCGGCGATCAACGAAGTCTCGAGGTTCTGAGGACTATGAATATTTCAGGAAACATAAAGGTCAGGATCGTGACCAAGACCAAGACTGTATCGCGCTCGAAACCTCGAAGTGGGTTTCTCGTCAGCCTTTTGACACTTGTGAAGCAGGGCGCCTCACTACAGATTCGAAAACGACATCTTTCAGCCTTTACAAGTCCTGCGAAACATCTATCGTGCGGCGTAGAGTTTGAAGTGTTGGTTCAATGAAGACACTGAAAATTCTGCTGACACTATGCAAACGAAGACACTTGCTGTCACCTTAAAACTACAGCCCGGAAGCAAGCCGGCTTTAATGAATACACGTATTCGAGATGTGGGCGAATTTCTACAGCGAGTATGATTGGCTCGGCAGTCACTGAATACACGTATTTACAAAATAGGAAAGTGGGTTTCGGTGTGAAGCCGGCAGCTTTGGTCATGATCTGCACCTGGCACACATTGAAATTTGTGCACAGCATCTAGCGCGGGGGCATACGACGTTGAGCATGATGGCTCAGTCGTGGCTATGGCGATTCTTCTCTGATACCAAGGTCTTTACAAATAGGCTATCTACCAGAATATTTCCTTTCTCGTGACCCCCAATGTCCAACAAGCGTGTCCTAGCTACTAAGCGACCCTCACATAGACTTGTGCATTTCCAGGACCACGCCCGCCACGACTTCAATCCTCCCCACAACGCCAAGAACCTCTAACGCCGGCCATGAATGATCGAACTACGTATCGACGCTCCCACAAAAAATCTCGCAATGGATGTGCCGAGTGTAAACGACGTCACATGAAGGTACGCTCAGGCAGCGTGCTTGATATCCGGCGCAACTCCATGCTGACGAAACGGCTCTAGTGCGACGAGACCTGGCCCAGATGCGCCAACTGCGTAACTGTGGGCCGAAGATGTGTTTTCCCATTATCTGCCGACCCGGACTTGTTGAGCACGCCGATGAGACCGGATGAAAATCTTGTTGGCTCATCCGGAGCGACAACGCCGAATGCCGATACGAGTTCCGGTTCATCATCAGGACGGAGCCCTGCGGTCATTTCAGCCCCGGACCTGACCCACCTCACCATCGGAGACAACATTTCCGGCCAGCTAGAGTCGGATGTGGCCATCAACATGGTCCACATGAAATTGTTGATTCACTTCTCTCTCCGTATGGCCATCCCAGAACTTGATGAGCATCTTATTGAGCTGGGCACGCGCTTAACTGTGAAGACTGGTGCTGAGGTGCCATATCTTCTTCACGAAGCGCTCTCATTATCTGCACGCCATCTTTCAATGACAGTATCGGAGAAAAGTTCCGAGTACCTCAATCTTGCTGTACAGCTACAGAACCGGGCTATATTGCTGTTTAACTCCGAAAAGGTTCGCGTTGACGAAACCACATGCGTCCCAATGATACTCTTCTCCTCCATCCTTGGCCGCCACCTTTGCATGGATGCTCTAGCATTTCGAATTCCAGACTTGGGTCCGTTCTTGGACTGCTACGTCAACTTTGTTCGGGTCCACAGAGGGGTCAAAGTCATAGTCAACCGGAGCTGGCCGTTACTCAAAGACTCAGAGCTCTGCCCCTTAGTTGCCTGGGGGATGGGGCTTGGCCGCTTGAGAAGTCGAGGAAACGACTGTGACGGTATCCTTAGGCTCTTGGATTCCTACGAGGATATATCTCCTGACTGTTTGGAAGCATGTCACAGAGCTATTGAGTTCGTCCAGATTGCTGTGGATGATTTGCAAGTTCGGATGTTTACTCGAGGTAAACACCTGTACCAAATTGTGTTTTCGTGGTCTTTATTGGTTCCAGAGGCGTTCTCTGAGATGCTGGTACAAAGAAAGCCTGTAGCGATCGCTATTTTGGCACACTATGCTGCTCTTCTACACTTGGCTAGAGACCAATGGCAGATTGGCGATTCAGGCGCCTACCTCCTTAACGTCATTTCGAAATACCTAGGGTCAGAATGGGACGAATGGCTGGCGTGGCCCCGAAGCATCGTTCTCTCGGAAGATATGGAAGTTGACATTCCGTTAAGACCATCGATCCCAGTATAAATGAACGTCAAGAAAACAATTCCAACACCTATCATGGTCGTCCTGTCAACAAACATGCATATGTGACAACTCAGATGTCCAAGATTTGCGCAAGTGATACGTCTCAAGAATAGTCAGATATGGCCGTCTCGCAAAATTCGATCAGTGCGGCTTCCTGCCCTGTCCCCCCTTCCTCCTTGGTTTTCATCGCATTGATGATGTCTGCGCGAGGGTTTGGGTGGAATCGACCCCATGGCTCAACCCACCGCCCCCCATCCTCGAGCGTAACGTCTGGCGAAAAACCAGCCCAGAGGTTTGTGTAAGCTCCGAATCGAGGATGATACAGCAGGGGTGAGACCAAAGCCCCGACACCCCAGTGGAAGTGACGAAGAAGTGGGGTCTTCAGGTTTCCCGGATTCAGGACCAAACTGACAATACCGCGAGGACCCAGCTCTTTGGCAAAATGGTCTGCTAGAAACCAATTGCATGTCTTTGAGAGGGCGTAGTTGACCTGCTGATCATTTGTCGGCGTGAGAAATGTGTTCACATCTATCCCGCCCTCTGGTGCGCCGAGTTGCGTGGCGATTGAAGTGGTGAATAGAACACGAACCGACCCATTTGTTTTGGTGGAACTGGCTGTTGAGATAAGGAGCGGACTTAGAAGCTTCGTGAGAAAGTAGGGCCCGAGGCAGTTGGTTGCGAGCTGCATTTCATGACCTTGCGCTGATACCCAGCCGGCGGGAGGATTGGAGACCCCAGCGTTATTGAAAAGTCCATCGAGGCGTTGCTCTTCCGCCAAGAACTTGTCGGCTGCAGCCTTGATACTGACAAAGTCATCGAGGGCTACTTTCAAGAATCGCAAGCCGCCCGCGATTGAATCTGTCGTTGTATCTTTCTCAATGGCAGAGATGGCTTCTCGCGCCTTGACTTCATCTCGGCCTGCGATGTAGACAGTACCGCCGCGTTGCCATATCATGCGGCTCAGCTCATAGCCAACCCCAGAATAGCCTCCTGTGACGATAAAAACTCGTCCTGCTTGATTCGGTACATCGGTCTCCACGAATGTGGGAGACGGAGGGAAGAACATCGAAATCGTGTTGCCCATGTTGAAGTGATCCTTCGTTAAAAAGTACCCGAAGTCCTTCTTGGGAGATAAGCAGCAATCTTGTAGGGACGACTGTCAGAGGCGGACTATTGCATCGTTTTGCGCGGCTGGTGGGGAGAAATGTATGAAATCAACTTTGAAAATCCAAAGGATAATGCAAGGGAGAAAGCGGCAGGAGCTGAGTGCTGATGACGTCGAAGGCGTTAGTTGGGGTACATCGTAGAAATAGTGCTCCCACGCCATTTCGCCTTTTTGAGGGGTCAAGCTGTCTTGATACGCCGATGGGCTATCGCAAAGCTGTGTCAGAATGAAAAAAATGGAAAGGGGAAAGTATTCGAAATGAACATATCACCGTGTCTTCCCTTCATATCATCATATGGTCTCAAAGACACATCTCGCCTTGAAGTCATCAGAACATGCCTGAAAGCTTTCATCCGTCTTTGTCTCCCTTCGCGCCATACCTTCCATGACCATTTTTCTCAGAACCTCTTCTGTGTCAATACAAGTAGACTGACTTCCGCAAATGTAAACCTTCGCTCCGATATTCCATAGCGTCATGACGTCCTGGCGGTCAGCCCAGACCCTATCCTGCACGTCGCCTTGGAAGTCGTTTCCGGCTCCACGAGACAGTGCGTACCGCACATCGACGACCCCACTGCTACCAAGTTCTGATACGCAAAACGAATCATCCAAGCTGCGACAGCCAACGAAGAGCAAAGCTGGTGCAATGATGTCCCACAGAGCCGGACGTCGGCGTAGCTGCTCAGCTCGATGCATTACAAATCCAACGAAAGGGGCGATACCGACCCCATCGCTTATCATGATGAGCGGGGTGCTCAATTCTGTGGGTGGTCGAAAGCACGTATTGAATGCTTCTACGCTACAGGCCACAGAGTCGCCTGCTCTTAGTTGAGAAAGATAATGTGACGCCATGCCAATCGAGGTGTCGCCGTCCTCATTACTCAAACCACGGGTCTTGCGGATGGCCATGGAGCATATCAGCGAGCATGTAGATGGTGATTTGAGTGGTGATGATGAAATGAAATACGATCGAGGTGACATTTCCGGCAGTATGGCACTTAGTTGATGTGCTTGAATTATGATACTGGGATATCCTTCGAGGAGTTGTAAGACGGACGGTCTCAGGTGGTTCGGCGCTCCGCAGAAGCTCTTTCTGGCTGCCTGAAATATCGCTCTGTCATAATCGTTGGTGCAGCATTGCATCAAACCCTCCAGTTGCTGCTGATTGTCAGCTTTCCTTTAGGCGGAGGATCATTTGTAGGAATATGATTACCTCGAGCGTCGTAGGTTGACACATATCGGCCTCTGAAAATAGGACGGTGCCCCCAGAAATAGCCATGCTATTGCGTACGTTCCTCATGCGTTGCTGAAAACCTTCACCAATCTGTTGAATATTCGGTGGGATTATCTTCAGAACATCGCCCGTTTCGTACGTTGATCCTTCGGGCAGCTCAAGATCAATGCGATATTTCATCTCGTCGTCCACGTTCGCTAGAAGCTTAACTTCTTTGACACGCGCTTGAATTGTATCATTCGAACTTGGTGTTTCTTGTTCAAAGTTTTCTTCCATCGGAGGCATTTTCGATGTTCCATGGGTGTACGCGGTCGCCGTGAGTCCAGCACTGGATGGCCCGGGGGCTCTCGAATATGTGTAGACATTATTAGCTGTCTTAGATTCCGATACCCTCATCACGAATGTATGCTACTTGTTAGGCTCTAGATTTCTTGAACTGCAATTCTTGAGAGAAATTACAACTGAGTGAAAGATGGACGTAGGAGCGCTGAAAAGGTAGGATGTTTCGCCGGTGCCTCATTGAAAGATGCAGCTGTCAGCCTCTAATATTCAAGTAAGCTGGATCTCGGTCTCGGTTTCGGGAAACGACACCAAAAGTATCCAGAATGGATGCAACCTTAGCCGTGGATTGGCCATGTTCTGATGAGATGACGAAAGCGGCAGTGGTCAATTTCTTGGCCATAGGCCTAGTTCAAAACTATGTTTGGGTAAATGTAAGGGACTTGGGATACCCGTAATCACCGCGGATCCCGTGGCAGCAGCTTAGCATTATTTTGTATCAGCGTAGTGGTTGGACATTGAGAGGGGCGATAGTAGCCTTTCAACCATGCATCCTTTTATTCGTACATGATTCCCTTTCCTCAAATGAGAACCCTTAATCGATTCAACTCCCCAAGATCATGTGCCATAGATGAACGCCTAATTACCCAAATCTCAAAACACAAAAAAGCAAAACCTAGAGTCAAACAATAACAGAGCCATGTGCAATTCGGCAGACTCAGCCTTGGTTCCCGTTCAAAGGACTGGTGTCTTCATAGAGTCCTGGCATAGACTGCGAACTGATTGGAAGACCCCAATCAGCCATCTGCAAAAAGCCCGCAGAAAACCAGTCGTGCCCGCCGAGTGAGATATTCCCCCAATCGCCACCAAATTCGAGGCCGGGAGGTACACGAGGCGAGGACGTCGAAGGTATTCCTAGACTACTTGTAGCATCCGTAGCCAGTATTTGTGGGCAGGGGATCGACGTTGTTGCCGAAATCTGGCTGCAGGGTCCTGGCGGGCACCCCAGAACCACAGACGAGGCCACTTCGTACAAGACCTTGATGATATGGTACGAAGCTACCGTTTGATAGTTTGGGTCGTAGCTCTCAAAGAAGTTGATGACCATTTTAATGAGCTCCAGATCTTGCAGGGCTGTTGTCGAGGTTTTGTTTTCGATGATGTTTACGAATAGAATGTCGACGCTCCAGGCTACCTGGTACAACAGATAACTAACCGAGTTAGTACATAATCTTGAAGAAGACGATGAATTACTTACATGGTAAATGGATGCTGCAATTGCTGGTGCTTCAACAATGCGATTGCAGCCCTCGCGGCGTTCACGCACAGAGCAACACTCGGTCGCAGACCATCGTCATCCTCGTCGAGAAGCGGCAACCGGAAAGCTGCAGAATGAATAGCGACAACCAGTTGAAAATACATGAAGTTCAACACAGTAAGACTCATCACCTTGGTGTAATCAGCATCCAACAAATCCATCTGCGGCTCAGGGCGGATCAATTCCGGAACCCCTATCCACCAGTCCTGCAATTCCGCATCTAGCTGTGCAATTGTAGACTCTAAGGCGGCAGCCGACATTATCTCCCCGCCCTGGGAGTAGAGCTTTGAGTAGATGTGCCCCTGGATTTGGGACAGGCGAACCTGCTGGTGGAAGTAGCTGAGCGTAACATCGCCGGGATAGTAGTATACTCCATATGCGTCTGCCGGAAACTCCTCAGGAAGCTCCAGAAGAAAGTCGTCGCTGATGAGAGGTGGTTTGCCGATGCGAAGCATGAGATCATGGTCGAGGACATAGGCTTGCCAGAATAGGCGGCGGCGATGCAGAACATCCGCAGGTTGGCCTAGCACTTTGTTTGGGTGGTCTGGGTTATGATACCCAGCGAGAAGAATGAACTGAGTTGCAAGGGCAAGTATTGAGACAGCGATGTGATTTTCGGCAGAGAATATGAAATAGTAGACCTATATCGGGTTAGTATGAATGCAGCGTAAGATATTCTGAGAGGTGTATATTACTAGAGAGAGAAGAGACCCAATAGTCATGGGATTCGGCGTCTGTAGAATGGCATTCGGAATTAGAGCGAGAGCGTTATTGAGATAATGCTTGTGCTCGGGGTTGTCGTTATTCCAGTCGCGCCTCCGCAGTTCGTGCATCATGATGACGTTCAAGGCCAGCTCCCATCCTGGCTCATCACAAGGTTGGCCGTACATGTAAGCATTCACCGCTGCGCGAACTTTAGACTCTTGCAACAGCCTAATGCCGTTGTTGAGTGTCCGCATATACTCTAGAGGATGGTGATTAGCCAGGTGGGGAACATTTACGGAAGTGGGAGAAATATTACCGTTGACGCAGAAGATAACAATGTCATTTGGGGGAAATGGGTAGTCCCTTGGGGAAGAAGAAAAGTCGAGACTTCTTTTCGGAGCGAAGCTCCTTACTTGTTGCAGAAGATTACGCACTGCATCTGAGTAACGAGTATCGCCAACCAAGGTGTCGATCTTGGCGATGCCCTCGGCTGAGAACAACGAGCATGATCCTAAACAACGTGGCAGTGAGCCTCATTAGCTCTTGTGGTGTTAAGTGGAAAGACATACCGGCAGTCCCGACGGTACCCTCAGATGCTCCTGCATAGTAGGGCTTTGCAGTTCTTGGTGAGCTCGAAGCCGGTGATGGTGGATACGAAGCTGGCGAGACTTGCGTTGAAATTGTCGACGCGGTGAGGGCCGGCTGAGGCGGGTTTGTATTGGATGAGGACTCTTCAGGCGTCAAGACTTGTGGACCTTTCTTAGCAACAGTTGCTTTCTTCTTGGGCACACTAGGTTCCTTAGGTTCCTTAGGCTCTTTCGGTTCTTGTAACTCCTCGACCAGACGCTCCATCTGCGCCAGCCTAGTGACGATATTCTCGTAGAGCCTACATGATGACGTCAGTGACCTTGAACCTCAAAATTCTCACGAAACTCCAATAACCAGGTCAGCGGATGCGCATACTTCTTTTCACCTCGCCGGATACTCTTCTTCCTCTCCGGCCAAACACACTCGCCGCCATATTTCTCGCATCCCGAGCATACCGGTCTTCTGTGGTCGCACTTGACCTACGACGGTGACATAGTCAGCATCTTACGCCACGGAAGACCGCGACACAGCATAATCAGCGCAGAGACATATAAATCCACAAGAGTTCCAGCAACAAACCTTTCGGGTCCTGCATGCCGTACAAGAAAGCGACAAGGCCTTTGACGCCGACCGTTGGGCTTCCGACGTGGACTGCATCGTATTTCGGCCGGGGAGCGGAAGACAGGATACCGAACCACACAGCCAAGCGTTCAAGACCAATTGCTATGGAGAACAAAGAAGGGCCGGTCACGCACGGCAGGAGCAGAGAGCGGCGGCGCGGGATATGAGACAGTACGGCGTTTGTCCGGAGGTGCCGGGCGTACCAGTTAGGCCGAACCGCGGTTTCTCGCGTTCGGCGCCCCCCGGTCTCGGACTACTTTTATCTCCAATGTCCGACGCTAAGACGGGCTTTGTGACCACAAATGGAATTGGGTTTCGGCTTTGATGTGAATGTGAGACCGTTTGCTGGCCCACGCTCGGCCGTGAACCTTTGTATTGGTCGTTATCTTTTAGTAATGATTGGTTTATCCCGCCGGCTTCGAAGTCTACTCTGCACGCCCTAGGGAGTTGATTGATGTCAATGATGATTCACTCGGATCCAGAATTGAAGTTGACTCATCGGCAAGAATCTTGTCGAAGACTTGGGTGAAATATTCGATTGTCGTACGCGAGTCATGGTCTTGGAAGCTTGGCAAATAAAGATTTTGCTCCTGGTCGTTCAGGGAGAACGCTGCGTGAAGTGGGGCGACATTCCGTGATATCGCTTCAAATTTGGTGAATTCCTACAGTGGTTCTCTCTGTCTCTGAAAAACAAAAGTGAAACCACAGATTTATCTTGTCAGCACCAGTCCTAAAATTCTGCCATTTCTCTGTCCTTGGAATTTCAAACGGCATGTTCTACTGACGTGAGCACCACAAAAGCTACTTTCCAGCGACGACCCTCCAATTTCTGTTATTCTGGAGAAGTTGAAAAAGCATGTGACGACGCGGTCGCGAATCGTCTGAACTATGATGAGAGCAGTCACAAACGATGTCGTGCAAGTTCCAACGCGTCTCGAACTAGGGTGCTGTACCGTGTAAGATGGAAGCTGTCACTTGCAATCGAAATCTGAACACCTCACAAGAAATCGACATACTTCACACTCCTCATCACAACTAAGAATGGCCTCAGGGCAATGCGCAGGTGTGCGTAACGGTTGAGACTGTAAACAACTTCGGTGCTTGACTACCTATGCTTTCAAACCGAAGATGAGTGAGAACGGTCGGCTGGTAGGCAACAGTGTCAATAGCAATAGAATCATGTCACGAGTCCGCTGCAACCCACCTACGACATTGATTTGTGATGTGAATGAGTAGGCTTTATTGGCACCGTGGGATGTTAACAGCGCCGAGAGACGACATGTCACATGCCATGCGAGCATCGTATCTCATTGGATACCATCGATTCGGTCGTCTTAGACTCGGATGGACTTCGACACCGACTTATCTATGAGAGCCCCTTCTCACAACGTTACCAAGTCTTCTGCCTGCAAAGGCCTGGCACCGCAACTCGTGTGGGCTTTTCTGGGCAATAAGAAGAAAGGCGATTACCAGCTGATACCTTACGTGCTTTGAATTCCGATACCGAATTCCGTCAAACTTACATCTCTTTCGTTAGTTCTCAACCTCAAGATGGCTGCCTCTGTGGGAAGTTCGATCTGGCTCGGAGAGGATGGCACGCCAGATCTCTGATACCCATGAGCCAACCGGTGCTGATACACTAGTGCACATCAAATATTCTGGCAAAAGTCCAGCCGACAAGAAGCATTTCCTCATGGGGCTCCATTCATTGATCGCTAGCTACGAGTTCTCTGGCATTGTCGCCAAACCTGAGCCCGAATCCCCTTTTCAACTTGGCGATGTCGTCTTCGGCATGAACAGACCTCAACATCAACGGCCGCCGCATCTCGGAGCGCACCCAAGACTTCGCAATCGCTGAACCTCAGGCTTTGTTCAAGTTGCCACAGGGAATGGGACTGCCAGAAGCTGCAGCGACAGTCCTCGTGGCCCAAACTGTTTTCGATGGTCTGCTCAATTGTCTCGAGTTTGGTTTTCCGGTGGCTGGGATCCAGGGAAGCGAACCGACCAACCAGTCGATTCTCATCTGGGGCGGCCCTAGCGGAGTTGGGATGGCAACGATTCAGATTGCCAAGGCAATGGGATTTGGCTCGATCTCTGTTATGGCATCGCCACGCAATCACGACGGGCTTACATGTATGGGGCTCGGAGCAACACAATGCTTTGACTACAGCAACCCCGAAGTTGTACGCGACATTCAATCAGCAGCCGAGAAGACTTATTCAGGTGATTTTTCTGTTCTATTTGACGCTGTCGTCACTGGAGCCGATCCCCTGTCGCCTCCAGCGGAACGTCCACCTTTCAGAGAAAGCTCTCCTTTCCTCGCCAAACGTTGCTGTGTCGCAAAAGGGTCAGAACCGAGGATCTGAAGCTGGTTTCCGTACTGCCCATCTCGGAAGACCCAGCCTACAAGCACGCCTTGTGCTGGAGACCTCACGGCGACATGAATTTCATGGAAGGGGCTCAGAGCCCCGAGTTTCCGCACCGAGTAAGGGTGGCGATGGACTGGCTTGTACAACATCATAGAGATTGCTTGCGCATCCCTCGCCTTACAATCGTCAAGGGAGCTCAAGCGGGAATTGGAGCGATGGAAAGATCTGCTGCAGGAGAGTTCAGTTTCGAGAAGATTGTTCTGGAACACCCTCTTTGAATACGCTAGACGCAATTCCAGAAGATTAGAAAAGAATGGAACTTTTCAGATTTGTATGTATGTACTAAACGCCCAATTACGATTGCATCATTTGTGATCCTTCATGATGTGCGAATTCCATAGGGTCTCATTTTTTGATTTGATGCGATTCAGAACCATAAAAGTGACCGTGATCCGAAAGTCGGAAAGCGAAGTCGCGAGGTACACAGAGAAGACACAGCTTTGAAATGCCCCTCTACTCTGACTGCTTGGCAGCCGGACAGCAACTGTAATTCGGCCGAAATGCGGCGGATGAAATGTCAGCTTGGTAGGACTGCGGATCGCACGGTCTAATTACTGAATACTGCCGTGTCCTGACTCCGCTTAGGCAAAGACTCAGGTCATGATTCTTTCGCTTACACATCAGTGACATTTCACTCCATGTGTTCTACGATCTCGGATTTACGGATTTATTGGCTTCACACGTGCAGTCATGCAGCCTGCTGACACAACAATGATGAAATCCACTGACGGACGCTCTGCTCCATAGCGAATGCAACTTCAAGGTTAGAATTCAACGATGCATTGATATTGTGAGGCTTGGCGGACATCCTGCGTGTAAAAGCGTTACAGTCAGCATGTGCTCTTGAACTATCAGCCTATCGTCAAGAACACAACCCTTTTTCAAGAAGGATGGAATCTCGTAACATATCCATAAATCACAGGCATGCACCAACTGGATTTGAGAGCTTGAAATTGCTATGAAGAAGATACGTCTCATTGGAAGTCACGTTTCTTGGCAATGATCACGATGGAGCAAAGCTCTACAAAGCCACACTAACCCATTCCCGTTATCTGGTCCGATCAGCAGAATCAAGTATTCCAGCCCAAGTTCTTAACCGAATTGACCATTCCAGCCGAAACAGCAGGCGCATTTAAGTGAGCGTGACAAATATAATCAGCACCTGGAGAGATCCACGCCTCGCTCAGGTTCTGATTAGCGCTAGCATACGCGGTGTCCAGGGTTTGGGCGGCCAGGTTTTGCGGCGTGACACAAGACTGCCCACACACGACGTAGTCGTGCTCTCCGAGGATCACCAGGACTGGTGAGCGATAGCTGTTCGTGACAGTCAAGTTGCACCAGAAAGAGCTGCTAGGCGGGATGCGCATCTCGCCCATTGACTCAGTCTGCATTTGCCTGACCGTTTGTGAGAACTGTTGGGGTCAGCCCGTCTTGCTTTCTTTCCGTATTTATGAAGCCGACTTACTCTGGGGATTGAAATTGGGATACTTGAAGAAACAAATGTGAATACCCTCTGCAGACTTGGGCACAAGGTAGCCATCAGGTAGGTGTTGCAGACGGTTAACACCCCACGGCGATCCAAATCCAGTTGCAACAACACTGCCAGCCCCAGCCGCATTCTCGTATGCGTAGCCAGTGTGCATGATGGCGACAAAATCACTAGGGTACTTTGACATCACCGTTTCAGTTGCCTTGCCCCCAATTGAATGACGGACTGCGACCACCTTGCTGAAGCGGGGACCGAACGAGCCAGAGCGGAGCATGGTAACCAGCTGGTGCAGAACCTCCACGGAAACAGGGGTTTGTACTTCAAGCAAAGGGTCAGGATGTTCTGAGAGACCTGTTCGAAGGCGGTCATAGCTGAGAGTGATCATGTCACCCGTGTGGCCACGTCTACGTAGCTGTATCCAGGGGCGAAGTCCCAATTAGTATGATCAAGCGTACCACCATGGGTGAGAATCTGAATAGCTCTGTCGACACTGCTTGGCAGGCCAGACGAGGGAGCGCAGTATTTAACCCATATTCCATAAGTCTTCTAAATCAAGGTAGTTCCCTCAGAGAAGTCCATTATGCGGTTGGGGTCGGTCGTGCTGACGTTAAAAACGAAGTCGGTGACTGACAATGAGTCTGTATTCGTTTCGAACAACGATTCCTCGGCCTCAAACCTTATCGGAATTTGTACCTCTCTAGTGACACATGACGCCGCTTCCCCTTTTGAGAGGGTAAAGCCCACGTTATTCAAGAGGGTGATGTTGAAGTTATGAGACACGGGAGACGCTCCTGCAAGAGCGATAAGGCTTAGAAGGAAGGCTCGTGGCGAGTGTCGCATCTTGGGCTGATCAGAACTTTACAGATAAAGAGAAGTGCATGTGAAAGGTGATCACCATGATGAAGGTTTTCATTATTCTGATTTATCTACCCTTGGCCAAATGTTGAGGGATCTGTGACAGAGTTTACCAGCAGTTGCTGCCCGCAGATGATGCTCCATCGCGGCCCCATTACTATGGAGAAATTCGGCGAAATAGTTCCTGATTCTGACAAGAAACCTCTGTCAATTGGGAATCTTGTTTGCCAAGCGAGCTAAGGAGTTATCATTGGGCCCCTAATTCATTCATGATTGATGCCGAGTTCATGGGATTAGCAAAGGAGAAGACATAACGTTATAAGAGCGATATGACATTATTTTCCTCGCAAACGCCTGTTTACTAGCTAATGCTTTGAGGGTAAACGATCAAAGATTCGGGGCGCTCGGGTACCGGATGCCGAGAAACACACGGTCTTCGTCCGCAAAGACCCGTTCTGAGTGCTCTCTCGTCCGCCGCCCACGGGATATCTTCACACGTAGCTTCTGGCCCAGGACTTCCATCTCAGCACCTTCTGTCATTCGAACACGCAAAGATTCTCCGTCAGATGTGGTGCAGGCTAAAACAAAGACCAGTAGTTCATTACTCTTAGCCGTTAGCAGCCCAGTAACCAGGATGCGCAGTGCAGCAAGACTTGAAAGCTTGCCAATTCTCAGTGCAGCACTTAATCCCCTGTTAGAGCCTATGTTACTAAAAGTTCATCTTTGCATGAGATACTCACAGCGCCGTCTTGTTGGTAACTACCTCCGGGACAGCATGATGCGGTGTACCCAGAGTTGGAGTTGTCAGATCTCAAACATTGCCAAATAAGAGATGGGCTGTTGTTGCAATACGCAGCGGATGCTCCGCTCAAGTAGGTGCTCTAAAACCCACATGTTAGACCGTCACGCACGACCAAGGCTTTTCGGGTTGATTCTTACGAAGGACAGCAAAGCCGCGAGCTGATAGACCTTCATGGCTGTTTAAGCTATCTGAAATGTTGGTCGAGCTTTGATATTCAAGAAAACTGCTCAGTGACGATGGCCAAGACAGTGGTTCTTATGCCTTCAAAGTTTGTTAGCAGCCGCAATCCGCGTAAATAGGACCAACTTGCCGCCTTTTCATGTTTTCCATAACCGGCAATTGATGTGATATTTCATCCACCTGATTCGCGGTGTCAAATTTCCTCGAGAAAGTGAAATAGATGAACGTGCCTCAGACATGAATCAGTGTGAGCCTTTTTGCCCTGTCCGTTGCCATCGGTTATCTCGGGTCGCCGTTGGCCGGCATTCTCCGACCGACTCGTACCTAGCGCTGCTACGCACACCGCTGCTTGAAGACGGGATCTTGCCATAAACTCCGGAACTCCATGAACGTGGCTTCGAACAGAAGCACCAGTGCGAGATGGCTGTCTTGTTCAGAGTACTAACCGCAGCTTGAGTTTTGTCACAAATAATCAGTGTTTCTTTCTGTAAGCAATCGCAGCTGCATCCAAATGTGTTGCCATAAGCGAGACGACTGTACACGTTCAATGGCATTTAAGCGAGAATATTAGCATCCATTGTGTTAACGTGTTACCGCCAACGAACTCCGTAAGCTCACTCACCATGGACCCGAAACCGAGTCTGGCGTTGAAAAAAGCATTACTGATTGCATGCCTCGATCAAACTTCTTGGGTTTATTGGAGAACTTGTTTCACTGCTTTCCCATCGGTAGAAAATGCGTCAACCAGCTAGGGTGGCACAGCTTGGACAAGCCGTCAGACATGTGAAAGCACGGCTGGTTGTAGTGTCCAATCCGAGAGTCATACGGCAGTCAACAAGGTGCGCCTCCAGGCGGCAAACTGCGAAGAATAAAACTTAGAAGGGAAGAAAGATTCAAATCCGACAGCATCGCAAACACGGAGAAACCCAGGTTGATTTGGACAATAACGCAAACGCAAAGGCAAAAGTAAAATAGAAACTGATCACGGATAATTTATATCTACGTCACAATACTCCGACGGAGCCATCCGCGGAACTTTTCAAATGTCCGCATCTCCCATGCGATCTCTACACTCTAAGATGGTAGGTACTTAACTACTATTCCAGTACCTCTCTACGACTATTTCTGCATTCACATTCGATTTTATTGCACGAAATTGATGCTTAAGATGTTATCTTCTAAATTCCCTTGTTGCTCTAAGCTCTGTATCTGATGTTATAGCTCAGAGCTTCTGAAACGAAACTGGCATTCCTAGGCGCGCCTCGAGAGCTTAAGCTGTGGGGATCATCGTGAACATGAGCGGCGGTTGGTGTCAACAAAATAGATGTGCAGCAAGGAATAATTACCCGCGAGGTCTTGCAACGAACTTTCTGATTGATGTATGTACTAGAAGCCGATTCTAGCTTCTCACACTGTAGTATATACATGTAACAACTTCTGATTGATTTTACCAAACTTCATGAACTGAATTTCACTCTCCTTCATCATGACTCCGTTTCAGATACCCTCGGGACACTAGGTCAAGTCCGTCGACTCTACTCCTTGGCAAGGCTGCATCTCGTTGTTTGAGACCGGCACCGATGCAGTCACTTAGATTCCCAGGATATTGACCTGGATGTTTCTGTTAGCGGCAACGTACTCCTTGCCCTTCACGGTGTTGTCGGCGCGGTAGCATGAGTCGAAGATGAGCCCTCCGGTACGGGCAATTTCGTTGCTATACATCAGTCAGCACCTGTCCTGGATGGAAAACGGTCCATGGCATCATGAAATGCCCCTGACCGGGTGTTTTACTTACCAGTTCACAGTATATGTGCCGGTGTTGCCTCTAGTGCTAATGAGCTGAGCGCCTCCGATTCGGCACATCTGGATTTGTGACTGCGCAACAACGCAGTTGGTGCCTGCGGCCCCCTTGCGAGCGAGATCGTCGAGACAAGCCGCGGCATCTGCGGACTACACACAGAGAGAGATACATGTTAGCATGGGCTTCCAAAGGCCGACTGGGTCGTAGTCTAATGTTCGTACCGGAGCATCCTTGTAGCTGGCTACGCACTCGGCTCTCTTGGTGAGCCCGCCAGCAGAGGAGACGAGGGCGGCAGAGTTGGCCGCCGCAACGGCCTGCTCGGGGCTGAGAGCCGTGTCAGGGTTGGCGATGATGTCCTCGACCCATGAAGCGAAAGAGAAGGTCGTCTCAGAGGACGGGGCCGGTGCGGCTGTCACGGCGGCAGCCATGGCCAGAGCGAGAATAGAGGCGGTGAACTTGACCATTTTGGTTGTTGGGAATATTAAGAACTAAGGCGATCTGATGGTTCTCGTAGAGTTCTTGGACTATGCTGTGGAAGGGAGAAGAGTGGCAGCACATCGAGCGACACGACTACACATTTAAATACCCCCTATCCGAATGTGCACATACGAGATTCCCGATTCTGTTAGATTCAGTCAACATTCAAAAGGGACTTTGGTGAAGAAAACTCCATTAACCACACTGGACTCTATCCACAATATCCGTCTTCACAGCTCGGACTATGTACGTTGTTGACTGAACCGTTCGTATTCGTCCGCTTGAAGGATCAAGTTGAGCGGGCCGACCCACTGCAGTCCCTCACGTCAGCCGGCGCGCATGGTAGCCCTGTAGGACATCACAACTCTAAGTGTGCGAATGTGTCCAATCAGCGGCTACTAATTTGGATTGGGTATTGAATGGGCATATCGGAGCGAGTTGGAATGAACGGGCTGCTATCCATTTAGTCCAAGACCTCCGGCCAGCATGCCACTTCGGCCTGGGCCGGGAGCGGAGCAGCCCTGCAGGGCTTTGGGACTTCGGTTCTCGGCTTCTGCCTAATCAGCGGGTACCGCATGTGCGGTTACATCTACAATGTCAACAGACTTTCTGCATAATGTGTTTTCTTGCTGCTGAGACATGTCGCGGATCGGGAGTACTGGAGTAATGTTGCCATAAGCTAGCATCCATGTTGATGATTTTATGCTCTTATACGTTGCTTCCCTTAAAAAAGCTGGATTCGATATCCCTACTTCCGTTGTCATCGTAAAGTTTGGGATAGTGGATACCACCAGGCAACAGGATAATGGCATCCACTCTCAGGCTCACCGCAAAACATCATGCGAGTTGCGCTGTATCCAGATGATTCTTGGGGTTTGTCGTTACTTCGTCGCTTGGGATCCGAAATCATTACACTGGGCCTCGCTCAAGTCTTAAGGCAGTCATCCGTCTCAACGCACCTTCAAAATGATAGATCCTTGCCGTCACAATTGCTGTTGATGTTGGGATTATTCCTAGAGCTGATTTATCATGAAGAATGCCCAAGCTGCAGGTATTTATTGCTCCCGTAAGAACGCTACAGAAGACAGCAATCAATTCAACGGTATTTGTTATCTTTGTCTTGAAAAGTGAATGCTCCTACGGTTGTTTCACCCTTCCGACCGAACACTCGTCCTGCTCCCCCTTCCACTGGGCACTCTCAGTACCCTGGCAAAGTGCCGTTCTACCGTCTTCCTGTTTTTAGCATATTTCTTCTGAATACTCACATGGGAACAACATCCTCTGACTAACAAGTCAAGCTCCGCGTTCTCATTGTGTCTATTGCCTCAACCTGTAGAGCGCAATTTAAAGATACAATATTGAACTCATCAGAGCACTGAAATACTGCGTTGTAATGGGTTGCAACATTGTGTCCCTGATAGTTTATGAGTAGTAAGATCATCTTCTTAAATAAGTGTCAAACAAAAGCATTCCAGACGGGCGGAGGCCAATGCCTGAGACCACAGCATCGTGGTCAAGGTGTCCCTAGCACCATTTCACGTTGACATTTACCAGATCTGAAATACATCATAAGGTGTTGAGACTTATGTATAATAAAACAACCGTGTCTGGCGAAATAAATCTTCTGTCAAAGATTGCTCGACGAAATCTTTTGCGTTTTCAACCATGCCATTATCATGATTGTTCCCAAGTGGCCACGATACAAGACAAACATATGAGCAGATCTGACAACATCATCGCAAAATCCCGACAACTACCCGTGAATCCTGTCCTGTTTCTTGATCTGCCCTGTATTCCCTTATAAATCATTAAAGCGAGCTATATTATGCTACATCTGGAAGACGTCGTCTGTATGGATCTTGCAACATAGCACAGCTAATTTACATTGTCTCCTGCTCATAGTTGCGTATGTAGCTCCTCCTGTTCTCTCCACTTGCTCTGCCTTCAAACTGGGACTGAACGACCGATGCTCTCAATTAAATTTTAGCTTACTAGGACGGTGGCTGTCTAGTTGCGACTAACAATGTATTGTTAGCTCACATGCAGCTTAGAGATGTATAAAAGCACCAGGCCGAAAACCCTTGTCATCATACCACACGCACCAATGGGGCTCCAATATCCACGGTTGCAGCTGTTATTGAGCCAAGTGACATATTCAGCTCACCTGCACAGTCCCTTTTCCTATGAAGTCGGTGTTTCCCCCTCATTTCGCACAACATCTCATCCAGCGCTCGCCGTGCTTCCACCTCCCCGTCCAAAAATTATTCATACAAAATAACAGAAAGATCATCTTAGAGTCCCTTTGTGCTGTTGCGGTTTACCTTGGAGGCATCTTCGCCCTACTACTTCTCTGTCACTCTAAGTCCTCAGATGGGACGGAGACATTTGCCTATGGCTCAACATTTGGACATCACTGGCTTGCATACACAACTCTGTTGAACATGAGCTTGCATATATAGTTTCGGCAACGTGACAAGACACTAGGGCACCATCGTAGCTTGGGACACACATAAAGTCGAGAGACAAAGCCTATGTGGTCGTACCGCACGCGACAAAATTAGGCCGATGGCTATTGAGTTTAGCATTAGTGAGTAAACAGGGCCGAGCTATAGTTCTCACCCGCAATCCTACGCACATCACTCTTCCTCGTCTTGTGTGACAGCCGACTTGGTCCTCTCATCCTCCAACTTCGTCGTCTTAACTTTATTCATCAAATACGCCCATCCAAACAGAAGGAAAGCCCCAGTGACACGTCGAAACGCAGACTCAAACTCACCCAGTTAGGCAGGTGTGGTGTATCTTCCCTGTCTCTTTACACCGAGGTGCAGTAGAAAGGCTCATTGCTTGGACCCAACTACAGTTGGAGGACCTATTGCTGCCTTTTCAAGTCCACGGTTACGAGCGTAGGCTTAATATATATAGCACCAACAAGGCAGCAGGAAATGTACAACCTGGGAGCCAGGAAAGTATATAGTCAACTTCCTTAATGTTTCTGAAGGAGAATAATCAATCAATCACCCGTCACAGATGCCCTCGTAAGCGCCTCAGAATACATTACGGATCATGTAATCGAGCACTGAAAGCAAGCCAAACATTCTGTGAGGTACACCGGCGTAACCCACCCCCAAGAACCCGGACTTCTCCTCCCTGCCCACCCCTCCCTCGCCACCGCAATCCAACATCAGCCTCACTCACTCACCCAATCACAACCACCCAACCCACCCAAATCGAGCAGGTATCACACATCATCTCTACCACACGTCCAGCAAATAAATAACCCCCAAATACCTTGAGAAGAAGGGATCCAGTGTCGCAGACCAATGGAAGTACATCAAAAATCTCCTCCGGACCTCAGGGGGTGTTGCCAAGCACCAGAGCAAAGCCCAAAGGATTCAGGCCGCTGCCGTTCGCTCATGCACGTAGGGTCTTTAGGCTGCTGATCGTCGATTTCATGTCAGTTTATGGAAAGCTTGGCTTTCCTTCTCCCGCCAAACAAGCGAATAACGTGGTCACCTAGCTCAGCAGACAACTGAAGTCAGGTGTCCAGCAAAAAGAATCCCGCCTCTTCTAGACCTCATCTGGATCGACATTGCGAAAAGATTCACCAATGACCAATGCCCATCTTGGCATATGTCAAAAGTTCACCGACAAGAGAAACGACCGACGCCATGCATCTCGGGACCAATGTTCCGACGCGGCCCCCCATCTCCACGACACGTAGAAAACCGGGCCCCTCGATCTCCATGCACCCTTTGCGATCGCGCGGATACTTATCCACAAAATCCCCTTATTTCCGCATCTCGAAAATCCCCGTTTCCTATTCAACAGAAAAATCTTTCATGCTCCCTCGATCGCGGTGGATTTATGTGGGCTCTGCTCAACCTCGGCTTTGCGTAGCGTGTCTCGGAGGACGACAGTCATGTTTATGCTTCACCCATACAGTGCAAATTGAAGACATTCATGAGAGAGAATATTTGCTTGCCATAAATGGTCGTGTCGTGATATCATTGGTATAATGCCTGATAGCTAGCTCTAACTTAAAACAAATAATTGGTAACAAGATGCTTTTCTGAGAGAAATGTGACTCCTCCTCTTTTGCATAACATTTTTTCCATACTCATATATATCCGCTTTCATATGATGATAGATTTTTTTACAGACGGGCAGTCTCCTGGGCCTCCTGGATGATGAACTCGGCGGCCTTCTCGGCGACACCAAGCACGGTGAGCATGGGGTTGATGGTGGGGATAGTGGGGAAGACGCCGGCGTCGCAGATGCGGACCCGCTTGAGGCCCTTGACATTGAGGCGCTCGTCGACAACGGCGAGCGGGTCCTTGCGGACGTCGCCCATCTTCGTGGTGCCGCAGGGGTGGTAGACGGTGTGGGCGGCGCGGCGAGCGTAGAGGGAGAGCTCCTCGTCAGTGTTGACCTTGGGGCCGGGGGCGACCTCACGCTTGATCCAGTTCTTGAAGGGAGCCTGCTCGGCGACCTTGCGGGCAGCGCGCATGCCGTAGACGAGGGTGGCAGCGTCGTAGCCCTCCTCGTCGGTGAAGTAGCGGAAGTCAAGGGCGGGCTTGACGTTAGGGTCGGGGGAGGTGAGGAAGAGGCGGCCGCGGGAGCGGGGGCGGGGGATGTTGGGGGTCATGCAGAAGGCGTAGCCCTCCTTGGGCTCGTCGTAGCCGAGGCGGCCGGTGTTGAGGGTGAAGGGGATCTGGTAGCAGTGCATCATGACATCGGCGATGTCACCGTCGGGGATGCCGTCGGGGTTGAAGAAGGTCTTCTTGCTGCCAGCGTTGGGAGCCTCGCGACGCAGGAAGATACCGGCGTCGGAGTCCATGGTGGTCTTGTTGGGAGGGACGGGCTGGTTGAGCTCCCACATGATGATGGACTCGGGGTGGTCCTGGAGGTTCTCACCGACACCGGGCAGGTCGTGGATGACGGGGATGCCGAGGTCCTGGAGCTGCTGCTTGGGGCCGATACCAGACAG